CATAACGTGATAAATTATAGATCGTTGGAAAGCTCTAACAATTTCACACCCAAAAATATGGTTTGCCGAAATCACACGCATTTATTGAGTCATGAATTTGTTATGGATAAAATGGTTCGAAAATCTAGCATAGTCCAAAAATCATCAATTTTTGAAGTTATCGTATCATGATGGGTTATACACAACCTAAAAAGTACGATCAACCTACTTTCATATGTTGAAAATATTGTTTTAAAAACACGTTTTTTGAGTTATGAGGGTGTTACAAATAAAATGGCTCAAAATCAAGAATGACCTAAAGGCATCAATTTTTCGAAGTTGTTGTAATGCAATGAATCATTGAATGTTGAGAAGCTCGATCAACTTACTTTCACATGCAAAATAAGATTTTCCAAATCATGCCCATTCTTGAAGTTATGAAGCTGTTACAAATAAGACTGCGAAAAAATTACGCATAACCTAAAAACAATAGATTCTTTGAAGTTGTCAAAACTTGATGAATCATACAGCGTCAGAAAGCTCTATTAACTTACATTCACATGCAAGATACAATTTTTTAAGATAACACCCATTTTCAATATTTTGAAATCACACCTATTTTGAAGTTATGAAGATATAAGTGAAATTTCTCGAAAATCGAAACACGTTAAATTATCGATTCTTTAAAGTTGTCGTGACGTGATGGATTATGCACTATCGAAAATGCTATCAACCCACTTCTACACGCAAAGTATGTCCATTTGAGATTGTGCATGTTCTTTGATTTAGGATGATGTTGCGGATAAGAAAGGCATGAAAATCGAGAATGGCCTAAAATCGTTAATTCTTCTATATTGTCGTAACAAGATTCACACGTTGTCGAAAAGCTTAATTAACTTACTTTCACAAGCAAATGAAGATCTTTTGCTACCACACCCGTTCTTTGAATTATGAAGTTGTTACGAATAAAACTGCTCTAAAATTTGGAATATCGTAAAAATAATCGATTTTTCAATGCTGTCTTAACGTGACGATTCATACACCGTCGAAAACTTCTATAAATCTACTTTAACATATTGAAAATGGTTGTTTGAAATTACACGCGATTTTATGAATTATTAAATTGTTGCGAAAACAAAAGTTGAGAATAGCAAAAAATAAAAATAAATAAATACCGATTTTGTAAAGGTTGTCTAAATGTGACGATATTCGTTAGAAATCTCTACCAAGTTACTTTCACATGCAAATTTAG